TTGATGTTTAGTTTAATAATCTTAAATATTCATTCACTGTTAGTTTATCACTTAGTTTGTAGGTCAATTAAAATTATTTATTTGGGTTGAGCCTGCCACCTCTATAGTGTGAATCTAATTTTGGATTTATAGTTTGGTATAGTTAAAAATACAACTTTAATTTTACCAAAATCCTCTGATTTCTTGACTAAAACAACAACAACAACTTTGTATTGCCATGGTACATGCTTTCTACAGTTCTGGATGACACTGCAAAATTACTTGCCATTTCCGGTTTGTGAACTGGAGGTCCCTCTTTCCACCTTGTTGTGGCTGTCATAATTCCTGCTTCTACTTGCCCTTCTCTCTGTAATGTCAGCAATAAAGAATAAAGACTGTGACACAGTAACAAGAGATAATCAACAACAGCAAAAGTGTGCGAAACAGTTAAGAAAGAAGATTCAATTGTAACTTGCATTAGCTCTCTTAATGTTATTTTTCAATTTAATAATTAAGGAATGTACGTAATGTTCACATAACATTTAAAACACTCTTACTTCTTTTTCTTGCTTCCTTTATAAAATGATATGTTATTTTGTCTTTGTTCTAATCCAAACTATTACTGTTGTCATTAGGTACCATTGAGTTGGTTCCAACTCACAGTGACGCCATGAACAATAGAGTAGACAGTATTAAGGGACTGTATTTTCAAAAGTAGAAATTTCTTTAGAATCCACAGATTTGCAAATGAACCAAAATTATTAGAGAACCAAGTAAACAAAGACAATTCACCTCAATTCTAATTTGAAATTTGTAACTCAGTACTGAGGTGTTTTTTATTTAAAGAGGATGATAACTGTGCGGGTGTTTTGGTTTGGGATGAACAGTAGTATTGAGGTTAACGTTTAAAAAAACCATAGTTTTGTTCTCAAAACATATAATTTAATGCTTTAAATATATTAAAAAGAGTTGGAGAATCATTACTACAATTAATTTTAGAACATTTCTTCATTCTTGGACTCATTATTATACACTCCCCATTTCTCCCTTCCCTCAACCTCCCCTTCCATAACCCTAAAAACCATTCAGTTACTGTCTCTATAAATTTACCTATTCTGGAATTCTTATCAAAGAACACTTCTCCCCTCCCTCCCCCCTAACAAATAAAACACAGCAAAACCTATATCCAAAAGAAAGCAGAAAATAATAAAAATTAGGACAAATTAAAAGTGGGTGCAAAAGGAGAACAAATGATAAAGTATTAAATTCTAGTCTAACTGTATCTGCATTAATCCACTTTCCAATGCACTCTGTCTGTTAGCAAGGTTGTTCACATCCCTGGTTAACGGTCAGAGAGGGTCCAGTGGAGGCTCACTCCACATGGGGACTCTGCAAATGGATTTTGTATTTTCACTGTCATTCATATCTTCCTGCCAACTGGATGCTCAGAATTTAAGTTCTAATACAGTACCCTCTTGCAGTCTTGGATTCTATTATTTACAATCCTTGGATCATACAGGCTAGTGTGCTTCTTCCATGTAGACTTGGTAGACATCTCACTTAGATGACTGCTGGTTTTAAGACAAAGCCCCAGAAACTATTGGGCATCTTATGATAGTTGGGAATCATATGATTTCTTCACTAAACTCTGTACCCAAATCTTCAGTGATCTCAAGAATCAAGTAGGGTCATGTCATAAGAACTAATTGTTCTTATATTAGGGCTCATAATTAAGTGCAATCTCATAATCCAATCATATTTCTACAGTTTGTAATATGTCCTTGATCCAATTAAATATATCATTATTATTTTATTGGGGAATATTATAAATTATCCCCCTTGGGCAAGTGGTAATTCTATTGATAGTATCATTCATTTAGCCAATGATACAGAATTTAAAAGGCTGTTAAGAAAAGAGAAGTATACATGTATAGGACAAAGTTTTATATTCCAACGTATGGACTTTTCACTTGTGCAGATTAAAATTTAAGTGACTGGACATTATTTACACAAACGATGAGAGTTGGAGATAGGGTAAAACTTTCAGTAATGCTCATCAACTAAGACAGTGCTATGCCTGCTGAACCAAAATATGGAAAAAAACAACCCCAAAGCAATACTTCTAATTCTTTGATTAGGGCCTACTCTTTTAGATTTGGGGGGAAGACTCCCAAGAGGTAAACTTGAAAACATTTCTCAAAGGACACAGCATGACCATGAGGGCTTACTCAGAAATAAGTTTTAAGAAAATTAAACATGTCCTTGGAGAGGACAGTGCCCAGGACGTTTTCTTGGACAGTAGCAGAGCTGTCTTCTGAGAATTTCATGGGAAACCTTAGCCCATTCACCTCATCACCTTCCCTCACTGTGAAAAGAATTTTCACTTCAGACTTCTTGTTTCTAACATGATTTAAGTCCCTCAAGGTGCCAAATTACCATTTGGACGTGGATTAAATAGTGTGGGATTCTTCAAGGGATAGTTCCAAAGATATAAACACTGCTTTCAAAAGTATATATACCTAAACGGCAGATAGGTTGAGAAACAGTTTCA